GAGTGAGAGTCGCAAACCCTAAACCCGAAAACCTACAGCCATAAAGCCTAGACTTAGGGCCTAAACCCTAAAGCCTAAATTAAACCCTAAATTGAGGGTTTTGCTAAACCCTGAAGGTTTTTCATTTCCATTGATGTCGTAATGCATATATGGTCATGTAAGAGGAGGTTGGAAGAAGCAAGGTAACCGTGCACCCGGGCCCCACATAGTGCTGCACATCTGTCCACGACAGGGGCGGGCAATCATTGTATACATGTCCGCGTGATCGGAAATTGTGCGCATCGGAGCGACGAAGTAGTGCACACGTGCATGGACGGCGGGCTCGCGAGAGAGAGAGAGAGAGAGAGAAAAAGAGTGTCATTGACGAGGCACCAGCAGACGACACAGACAGCAAAGACAAGCAAGTGCCACGAGGACCAACAGTCCGAGAAGCGTCCCAGTACGCACAAACAGGAGAGCTGCCGCCAGACATAGATGAGCGCCGACCGGAGGAAGAAGCAGAGAGCAGCAGCAACAGCCCGGAAGGGAGGGCGGGGAAGAGGCGACAGCAAGCGCCCCTTGCCGCCGCAGCGCCCCGGAAAGGGATACAGCAACCAACCTAAGCATGAGGCGGTGGTGAGCAGCGTGCAAGAAACAAACACCAAACAGCTGCCATCAAACAGTGTTTGCGGAGGCATGGGTACATGCATGGGGGTGGAGCAGCGACGCACTACAAGCAGGAGGGCGCACCCGAGCAACAGCAACCGGCCAGGGGCCAAGCAAGGACAAGCCCCGCAACACCGCTCCAGTTCAGCAGTACCGCCACTACAGCCACCACCACCGCAGCAGACAGACACCACCCCGACAGCCACCCACAGGCGCACCAAAGAGGATTGGGCAGACCTTCTCAACAGACACCTACTAAGAGGGCCGCGAATAGCAGCCGCACCGTGGACCAAGCCGCCCCGCACGCGCCGGCTGAGCAACCTGCTTGGAAGCATCCCGGAAGAAATCGCCGGCGAACCAATGGACACGGCAGGCCACACCACCGGCAAGCACACACAACGAGCAGAACACAAAGACCGTGTGATGAACAACCCATGCACGCAAGCGGCAGCCAAGCCCAGAGGAGGAGATGCAGGCGCAGGGGGAAGCCGCGCCACACCACAGGCAGCACCAAAGATCCCACCACCACGACCACCACAGGAGAGGCGGCACAAAGACAGGGGAACGATGGACCCCGCCGACCAGCACACCGTCGCCTCTAGCCAAGAGGTACCACCACGCCACCCTCGAGCCAGGGGGGACAACATACACCACAACCGCCACACTTCCAGCACATCGGCGCAGAAACAAACCGGGGGAACCACATCGCTCACGAAGGACCGCCAGCGCTGCCGCACGCAGCCAGAACGGACGTCCTCTACGTTGCAGCCGGCAAGGCCAAATTGGTAGCAAGAGTCGAAGCAAAGTCGGGGGCGCCCTCCTTCCTGGAGGCCAGGAACTGTGGACGTGCCCGCCGCTATCCGACGGGGCGATCGTAGCTTCGGTTCTCACTAACAGCTTGCCTTAGTCTGTTCTTATGTACCACCCCAAGGAACCATTGCAGCTAGTGCTGCTAATCTACTACAGTACTCCTCTACTCCTAGTAAACCTGATGAAGGTACTTGCGCAACCACTGAACCCAAGAAAAGACAGACGGGGGGACAGCATGACAAGACCGCGCAGCTGCACACACCTCTCGCCCTGCCTACAAACAAGAAGGGGGGGACACTTGCAACAGAAGTGGGGGCGGCATACTTCATCGAAGCAATCGATGACGTGTAGATGATCCGCGGGGCGTCCGCGACATGGCCTGCCTAAGAACAGCAAGTACCGGCCGCCAGCTGCCGGACAAGGGAGAGCAGTGGGGGATAACACAAACCCTGGAAAGCTTCAACGACCGCGGGGGAACCCACAAGCCAGCAGCAGCAACAGCGCCCCGGAAGGAGGGGCATTGATGCAGAGGCCGCAGGAGGAACCACAAGCCGGCAGACCTGCTACACGAGCCGAGGCATACTCACACGCAGCCGAACCGGAGCGCCGGGAACCACCAGCTAGAGCAGATAACACCGCAGCCGGCCAAACGGCCACACAGCAGAGGGTCCGCTTTGTTGATTGACAGCAGACCCCTACACGGGGCACACACCACCGCCAACGAACCACACGCAACAGCGGCCAACCCCAGCCCGCCCAACTTGTACACTCTGCTGCAAGACGAGCGCGGGATTGGGAGAAGGTCGCAACAGACTGAGCTTTGGCAGGGAACATACAGGCAGCACCGCAGATCCACCACAACATCCACCACTACTACCACCACCCCAGCGAGAGCTCGCAGAGGAAACGTGAGAGCACGGCTGGACAACAGAACAGGAGATGATCGGCCTCACTCGGCGAAGGCGCAGGAGCATCGACTACAGCCCAATCTCCACGCCCTAACAAGCAGGCAGCTCCAACGACCCACCACCCACAGCACCACAGCCCACCACAACAAGGGGAGAGACCAGTGAACAAACAGCCGCACACACACTGCAGCTTTCGAAGCCCTGTCACCCAACTCCAGCTGATCCAAGAGGTTGCCCGCACCATCATTACACCGGAGGGGGAAGGCATTAGTAGTCATTGGCAGCATATGCCAAATAGCCAACAGAATGCTGCACAGGCCAGCCACCTGCCCAATGCGCGGCAGCCAGGGGGAATGGCCAAGCCACGAGAGACTAGTCGCGCCAGCGGGATGAGGGTCCAAGAGGAGAGAGACTCGTTAGCGACGAGTTCAGCGAAGACCTCGTTGAGAGGGGGCAATGTCAGATGCTCGAGCCCATGCGAGCAGAGGTAGACCAAAACAAAGTGCACGGTGCTGTGCTGAGCTACGGAAAGCCAGAGCCATGCTGGCGAGCGCCCTTTAGCGCACGATGGGAGAACCTGGAACCGTCAGAGCTGTCCTGCTCCTAGCGCTCAGCGAAGAGATAGTGGACTGCAGGGAGGAGGCCTATGAAGCCCTGGAGGGGGGCGTCCACCCGGCGGACACACTAGGCCTCCAGACCCCACAGGTCTCAGAATGGCCCGCTCGCACAAACAGGTTTGGGGGAGCAACACTACGAGTTCTCGAAGCAGCTGCAGTTCTACGCGATATGGTGCCGCGACTGGAGGGGGAAGCACTGCCGCCAGTGGTTACGTTTCTCTAGGCCTTGTAAGCGTGGCAACAAGCCATGTTCGGGGCGCTCACGCAGTTCACGACAGTGCACAGACCGACGAGGGCCTGGGGTAAAGCGTGGACACAGCCCGCCTCAACGACTCCACCGAGCAGATTGGGGAGACCGACGCCGCCGCACAACGAGAAGAAGAGGAAGCGAGAGGGGCAAGTCCCCCAGCAGTGGACAGCCCTACGCGGAGCAACGGAGTCCGAAGCCAATTTGGCTGCCTGTCGCTGGAGGGGGTTGCGTACCAAGCGCTCACCGACCGAAGCACAATGGTGGCTGGAACACGACGACAAGCCGGAAGCAGCGCACGGAGGAACGAGCCCTGCTGAGAGCCCATCAAAACACCGCCGCAGACGCCTCCATGCCATGATGTTTGACCGGCACGGCCCCGTCTGAAACCAGTTCAATTAATTAAGCCATAGTAAACCTCTATCAGACGGGGGAACATGCCATGTCCAACACAGGCACACGGCTCCGAGCTCGGCTGCTAGCAAGTCTCAGAACTGTCGCTTTGTTCAGTACTGTCGTGAAGTCATGAACTAGGCCTTGCCTTTCGAGTGGTTACAACGTGCAGCCGAGGGAGCATCGGCTGCCGGAGGGGGAATAAGCACACTTGTGCAGGGTTGTTGCCGCATAGTACCCCCATCCGAAACAGCCACCTGGCAGTGGCAGAGGGAGGAGCACTGGCGTGATCTGCGCCGTCTTGCTACAGTGTTGCTTCCAAACTCGTCCAGAGCACACTGGGCAAGGGGAGAACCGGAACATACAGTCATGTTCTGCATCAGCTTCGCAGTCACTTTTGTTGTTGCACAGGAGCGGATCCGGAAAACTAGGCCCGAGTACTACTACCGCTTGGCTTGGGGGGACAAGCATCCGTACTAGTGACTCTGCATCAACTGTCACTCTTTGGTAACATATCAGTTGTTGTTTTACCAGAAAGGTGTTGGACTCCCACGGTAGGTACAGGGGGGTGCTTCTGTCGAGGAGCACTCTACCTTTCAAATCGACCAAGGCAGCAACAATCCTCCCGACGACCCAAAGCGGAAGGGATGGGGGGGCCTGCGCCCGCGTCTGCGTGCAGACCTGTCCCCAACGGAAGGAAGGAAGAAAGAGTGCCTGGGAGAAGAAGAAGCAGAGGAGAGAGCGAGAGAGTGCATGGCTTTGTTGACGCAAGTGAAGTGAGACTTGCGTAGCAGCTCACTCGGTTTGGGCTGTCAGCATTACCATCTCTGCGTCACGTCGCACGGCGTTCAGAACTCCGCCGAGGCGTGTACTTCCGCCACGATTGTCAACATGACTCTGTCCGGAAGTCAGAACCCGCGATTTCTGGGATTGACGCTTGGCCCAAAGCCTGACATGATCTCTCCCGCGTAGCAGTTGCACTCTGCACAACTTTGTAACCATGCGCAAATCCAAACCCTGCAGTACACCTCCCATGATCGGATGTTCTGTTCTGCACACCTTATCCAAGGATTCCAGTCCTCCAGGAGGTCCAAAATATAATAAACGCCCTCGAAGAAGACAGCGCGTTCATGACGGCAGTCTGGCAGAATTCTTTGCGGTTGCAGGCCGTGTTGGACGTGTTGGACACTTGCAACCCTGCGTGTGGGCTTGTGCATTCCAAGGGTCTCTTCTCGCATGACAGCCTAAGGATCTTAGAGGTGTCCTCGATGACACGAAGAAGATTTCAGATGCCGTCGAGCTAGCGTCAAAGACTATGACGATGCTCAACGACATGATGCGGAACGAGGCAAATCAGGCACCGAAACGTGGCTTTCCTGAATGAAAGTCGCGGGCACACACAACCTCGAAACAACACCAAAGAAGACTGTCTCAGGTGCAAACGGCGACTCGCTTCGGCATAGCTGCACCCTCTGTGTTGAGCTCTCGGACCTGCTGAAGCCCGCCATTGCTACTCTTGAGAGCAGTTTGGGAACTGCCTTGGACAGAGCACGCGCGGAGGTCATTTCTACACTACAAAGACGTAGTCGCACACCAATCCCCTTCACCTCTAAGTCCCATTCGCTCCTCTGCTGGCTCCATGTGGTCCCCCTCTTCCCCTGCAGGTGAACAACCAGCTCACCGGTGAGAAGCTTGCGGACGGGTGGTGTGTGGAAGCAATGGTAACTAATGAAAAGCTAGGCGAATTCTGGAGCAAGATAGGCATCTGACTTCATACCCCGTGTCCTCTCACGCAGGCTGCATCGGTTGCATCCAGTCATGAGAGGAGCTTCAGGGTAGCATGGACCAGTTCACAGCGCCGCTGCAAGAGTTCACGGAGTCGATGCATGGACTCTTTGGGCCTTTCGTGGAGCAAGACCTGCTCCAGCAGATTGAAGACGGGCTCCTCGGCAAGGGCTGGCCTTTTTTCAATACATGATGAGACAGATACCTGACTTTCCCCGTGCTGCTTGATGTGCAGTGCGCTTGTTTCCGGATGAGCCCGGATGTAAGACATTTGGAGGGAGGAGACAAGGCAACCTGATGCAACTGTTTTCGTGTTGCCTTCCCAGGCTGCGGCTGTATGGGCCCCTCGCAGTTTGTTTTTTTGCAGCAGTCGCCACCATGCTGCAAGAAGCTTTATGTCCGCTCACAAGACTGAACATGTGCGGCCAAAGATTCGGATAAACCCTGACAAGGCTGGCTTGCTGGCATGTTGCGGCATGTGCTCGATGTGCTGCTGGTGCCGTATTCAACGCGGAGCTGTGCAGGCGTCATAGAATCATGTCTAATTGTAGCCGTTGTAGCCACACCAGTCAGTTGGACGCGTTTCTACAGTGGCTGCAGATCTTTGCGCCACCCCGGAGCGAAAACCAAGCACCTGGGGCCAGCCATTCTGGGGCCAGCCAGTCTCTTCCAACCACAGCGCGGGTGCCTGTGGTAGTGAGCACGAGCTCACTTGAAGCCTGTGCCCCAAAGCCCTAAACTCTCAATCCTCAACCGTGAGGTGCAAAAATCAGCGACAGTCCCGACAACAGTGCTAGCTGCCAGAAGATGCATACACCATCGGGTGTCAGATAACTTGTGTTTTTGCAGAGGTAACGAACTGTCGGACGGACAGTGGCCACATCTGAAAACGTGTCAACTGTCTGGCACATGCATACCCACCTATGCACGTGTATGTATAGACTTCGCTCATTAACTTCAAATCAGGGTCAGATCATTGTGTATTGGCCTGCTGTAGCGGTAGCAGGCATGTGCTACGCCGCTCTGCGCACGCGAATATTCAAGAGATCAAGTGCCTGCAGTGAACGCTCTGCTCCAGTCGAAGGCCAAAGCCCACCGCTGCGCATGCTGCACATGGTGCTGTGGATGCTACTACATTTGGGCATCTTGGCTGCCAATCAACTGAGTTTCTGTACATGTGAAACTTCTTGCTAGAATGGCACCAACATCTTGAATACTTGAGAAGTAATACAGTCTGTGTCCGTGCTTGAGTCAGCTTGGCCGATGGCCGGCAGCTCACGAACCGTCTTACTCAGGTTACTTTCCTGGTTGGCGGCACCCTCCTTCTGGTCTCAGTTCCTCTGGCAAGTTTCTGAACCTTGGCTGGCCAACATTTGTCCGCTCTAGCCTCTTATGACACGCTCCTGCCTGAACTTTAGTTTGACTGCTTGTGTCAAGCATTGAAAGGCTTGATCCTCGACGACTTCAGCGGACAGACTCTGCAGGACGGGGCATGGCGGAGCCAGGCTTTCGTATCCTTCTGAAAGATACTTGTTCGTCCATGTGCCAAGTCACCCCACGGGGCTGGCATAGATGCAGTCCTGAGCAGCCTGGGCTGGACTGTTGCCACTATTGCAGGACATGTCCGGGGCACTTGGCCTGGACATGACAGGCCCGCAAACAGCGATCATGCCGCTTTGGTATTTGATTCGGCCTTATGTATGCTTTTGTAATCGAGTTACTAACTGTTCCGCTGAACACCACCAGCAAAAAATGCCGATGCTGAAGCAGGATGCAGACGCAAGCAATGCTCCCAAGGCGAATGAGTTGTAGAATTAATCTGTGAGTCTTTCATGGATCGGTTATTGCCGGATACATAGGCTGAAAATGGTTGATCAATGCTTCCAAAAGCCGGGGACGAGTTCCTCAAATGCAGCCCTTTTGGACATCATCACCGTGGAGTCCAACGGTACAACACAGACAATGAGGCCCCATTGAGTCACAACGGCACTGTTGGGTCCTGCAAACGAAGTCATAATGAAAGGCCACAGCTAACGTATCCCCTGCAGGCAGCAAGTGGTGGGCGGAGTCACCGACCAGATCAGCGCACAGTTCAATGGCCTCACTAGTGGCAATGCGACCCAGATCCGCTCAGATGAAAACGTCCAGAAACTCCTGCAAACAATCCAGAACTTCAGTATGGACGTCATGATGCTCCCGGACCTTCCCGCAGTTGCACAGGAGGACCCATACAAGAACATGAACTTGAATCAAACTTTGGCGAAGTTCTTTGCATCCTCTGGAGCCTGCGACGACTTCGAATGGGATGGTCGATCCACTTTTGGCCGGCCGCTCATATTCCGTGAAGCGACTTCGTTTCCGCATTTCTTTATGCATGTCGGATTTAGGTTCGTTGGTCTGCCCTAGGTATCGAGTCCTTCAGCAACGCGCTCGCGCAATTTGGAAGCTTGGCAGTGAAGCACTGGGATCTGGCCTGGGATGTTTGTCACTGAAACTCAAGACCACAGCCATTTTGGCTCAAGTTGTTGTTGTGTTCTTGTTTTAACGCACGTGTATGATAAACTCTCCAGCCATGGCCACTGAGGTTGAGGAGCTCAGAGCAGAGATCCATCGCCTTTCCTCCCGTTTGGCGGCATTGGAAGTCCGCTTGGACGAGACGGGCAATGCTGCCAGCGCAGTTGCGGTGGAAGAACCGACAGCCCCGCCGGTACTGCCACTGCCAAAGGCAGAGGACGCTGATGTCGCAGAAGAGAAGCCAGTTCAACTAGCTGAGAGCGCTTGGAACCTTTTTGCCGTTGTGGGGCTCACGGACGCTGGATGGCTGGACTCGCTATTTTCCGTTCTGATCCTGCTTTCGAACGTTATTATGCAGACCTTGTTCATCAACATTCTATTCAACAAAAGCTTCCTCGGAGATCCGTTCGAGACCAACGTGAAGAACACGAGAATCTGGCGAACAAGCTTGGCACACTCCTTCAGGTACTTGGACCTGTCGCAGACGAGCCTTGTGACCCGTGTCTGCGATGAAGACAGCTCCCTCCTCGTCGCCTCCACGCAGGCCAAGTTGCTCTCGGACATCAACAAGTTCCTGGGAATACAAAAACGGCCTTCGAAGCCACCTTCGATCAGCCAGGCGTCATACTTTGCATGCTGTGCATCATCTTGTGGAACCTTTGCGTGTATCGCGAACTTCGAAACATCTGGCTGAACCTGCAAGCGATGATGCAGCTGCCACGTGCACAATCCACGGAGCTGCACCAGGGAACCTTCCGAAGTCTCTCTTGCTTGCGGTTTTCCATCATTGTGACGGCCCACCTGCTTCGTGCGGCACTCGCAATTGCACTGCTGGTCGGTGGAACGCAGTGGCTAGGGCGCACCACCTCCATTGTGGACCTGATCCTGAATGCCGTGGCTCTGAATGGCATCTTGGACATCGACGATTTCCTTTTCGAGGCAATGGTGCCCACGAAGATCCAGTTGGCAATCCAAAAGCTGCAGCCGATACAGCTGAAGTACACGAAAGGCAAGAGCCAGGTGGAGTCGGCTTTCAACTTCACGATGTTGCTCATAATGATCTTGGTGCCTTACCTAGTGCTCATCGTGCCGCTGACCCAGAGAATGCTCGAAGTGAAGCGGGAGATGTGCTTCGGCATCCAGAACTTCGTCGTCGCCTACAACGCCGATGTCGGGATGGCCTACGGGCTCATGACCAACGAGAAGCGCTTCGAGAATGTGCTGACCTTGGCCGAGGAGGCCGTGAACGAATACAAGTTCAAGCTAGACGGGCCCTGGACGCCGGCGTCGGATGAACTTCCGCCTTCGCCCAATTTCATGCAGATGGGCCTCTACACCCAACAGTTTGAATTCGGCCGCATCCGAAAGATGGCGGAGGAGGCCGCGTACTGGCCGGTGTGTTGGGAGCGGGATATAGATCCGTACGGCCCGGCAGAGAATGCCTCGGAGTTGGTTGCCATCGCGCACAGCCGAATGAGAGCCGCGGCATTCAACCTTGGCCTCGGCACCAATGTCACTCCCACCTGCGCCGAGCTGCGCAATACATGCTATGATCCAGATGCACGGATGGTGCGGCTCATGTGCGGCCAAACATGCGGCTGCACAGATCCGCTCGCACCTCCCTGGTACAAACAAAAAGCGGAGGGCTGCGCTGAGATGTGTCTCCTGCAGAGAGAGTCGCGGATGAGGGCATTGCCTTGCCAGGACTTCCCTCAAGCCGGTGCGCAAGAGAGTTGGAACCAATTCTGGGACAACTACGCCCTGGCCGTTTCTGCCTACTACGGGCAGGATCGACTCGAGTTGGGCGACATGAGTGCGGTAAGCATGATGAAAGCGGGTGGCTGCCCGATGCTGCAAGCCGTTCCGAAGGACCCCATCACAGGGGAGACCTGGTGTCTGGGCGCGGCCACTCTCTTCGGTCCGCTCAGCTATCTCTGCCCGGAAGCTTGCGGCTGCCGGAACCAGACTTCGGATTCCGAGTTGGGACTGCTGTGCCCAAGCAGCTGCTTTCCGTGACTCCCGGCCCGGTATGCGGCTGATGGGTCAGACGGGTCATAGCCCACAACCGTCATGCACCAAAGGCGCATGGCGGTGCTCGTTTCACCGTGTCTCACATCCCAAAATTCTCCTCAACTCCGGCCTGCACCGCCTCGTTGGTAGTTTGGACGCTGCCTGCCCACATCATAGGCCTCTTGCTGTGATCATTCTGGTGCATGAGTTTTCATTGAAGTGTTTTGTCTAGGGTGTTGAGTGCTTAAACAGTTGCAGGCATCACGTCGTCTCAGTGTCACGCCGACCATTGCACCTGTGGATCTCGCCTGGCTTGTCCGAGCGGTGAGAGTGCAAACTCAAAGACCACATGCCTTGCCTGCGTGAGCGCCGAAACCCTAAACCGTGGCAGCAGCGAGAGAAGGAAGCCACAACCGCAAAATACCTACACCGTGCCTACGAGTGCTGAAACCCTAGGGCCCAAAAATTCGAGGTGTGCCTGAGACACCGCCGCATGCGAGCTGCGGCCAGCTTGTGAACTGCAGCGGCCACTTGGCACATTTTCCGGCTCATCTTAGTAGGCGCAGTGGCTTTTTGGGATTCCTTTAAGCGTCGCGAACGTACTATTCCCCCCGTTTACTACACCTTCCTAATGTTGATCACTCTGGCCCCGCACCGCCAGATCCAACTTAGGGCTTAGGGCGAAAAGGATTTAGGGATTACGGCTTGCGGGCTCGGAGGTTGGGAACTGGGGCTTTGGGCTCAGATGGAGCTTGAGGTGACGGTTGGGACCAAGGGACACTTGGGGCTTAAGGGTTGCACCCACCTAACCCCTCAATTCCCAATATTGAAGAGTCTAAGTGGAGGTGTTTTTCAGGCACCACTGGGCTTCTAATGATGTGCTGAGCTCAAGCTCATCATCCCCTTGGAGGTGTTCCTCCAAACGACGCTCTCGCGTGCGAGGCGGCCAACAGCCCCTTGCCCGCACACACTGCAGCCATCTTTTGACCTCAACACAAGTTGCGCCATCGGATATCATCGGTCAGCGGACCTATAGCAGACCTGGCAAGAACGGCAGGCTTCATGGAGCTGAAGCAGGGCCTGCGAAGTGTCACGCGGCCGGTGAGATGCGGCGAGACTTTTCTTTTGCTTGTGAAGCTTGCTCTCCTTTCACAAAGAGTAGCCGATGAGGTCCAGACCTTCAAGTGCAAATCCTTCATGGACGGGAATGGCTCCGCATGCACGCTCACCAACATGACTCACGTGGATGACGGAGTGTACCGGAATGACTGTGTTTCTCCCAGTTGCGGGTATCATGAGGCAGCGATTGTAAGGAACAATGCCGAGCCTTTGCCCTGCACTGAGGTTTCCGCAGCGACGGCACGCTCGCCGAGATCGAGTATGATTGCACTCTAGAAGACTTTACACGAATAGTGGAAAGCTATTCGAGACAACTGGATCTTGCCTTCGAGCGGCTTGACAAGGTCACGCCGTTGGTGCTCCGAGGCATCGCCACAGACATGCGCCAGTTGGTGGAAGAGAACGTGATCGACAAGATTGTCTGGATCGCAGATGGCGTGACTTGCGGGTTCATGGGCGCGACCTTCTTCACCTTCGTTGACGGCATGTGTTTTCGAGGAGTGTGGGGCTTCTCTGCCATTGCTGCTTCCTACGTCGCTTGTGCAGTGCTGGCGTTATTCCTGGTCATCCTCTTGTTGCTTTGACTCATTCAGCTAGGCTAGGCAGCCGGGCCCGACGTGTGTCATGCACCGTTCATCTGGTATGCACCTCGATGTGGTCCAGAGGTACTTGGTTTGGCGCTTCGCCCTGGACACGTACGACGCACAGCCTAGCAAGGGGCATTTTGAGAGGTATGTACGTAGTTTTACAACACCAGTACTAGTTGCTTGTCTTTCTCTTTGGTTGCCGCATGGTAGGTCTAACGCGTCGTTTTCAGCGGCAGCTGCCTCGGGCTGAGGAGCTGAACAAACAGGACAATCAGGCAGCTCGACCATACACAGGCGTGACAGTTGAGGGCGAGCCCCTCACCAATGCCGCCAAGGAGTGAGCTGTAGTTCCGCAACCGATGTTTCCATATTTACGTATCTATTTGTGTATATTCATGCATACACAATCGAACCGTGCAGGGTACCGAGTGACGCAACGGTGACTAGCAAGAGGCAAGTTAAGAGCTAGCCGGCCAAGCCGGCCTCGTAGATTTTGCGCTGTTTTTGCCGAGAGACCGGGAGGGCTAGTCCGCATTGTCCTCCGAATTCATGCTTATGAAATTGAGGATGAAGGCGATGCAATCCAGACACTGGTCTTGCAGATGCCAAGTAGCTTTGCTGGTATGGAAGGGCCCAGACTTCGCCACATGGCATTCAAGCACCGACGACCCGCGTGTCAATCATGGCCGTCCCTTCTGTGCCTTTGTACACGATTGCAGGGACATGGCCAAGCCACGGCCCTGTCTCCACGAATCAGTGAAAGGCACGTCACTTTTCCAGGGTGCTGTGCCCATCACTGAGAGAGGGGAGAAGTTAATAAACTCTCCGAAGGCGGCATCTGAGAGTAACCCATCGGTTGGGTCTGCTTTCGCCATTTGGAACGACGGCCCCGGATCTAAATCTCTCAGGTACATGTCTGGCCATTGGTGACCATTGGCTAGACTCCTTTCGTCGATTTGATCGGTTAGATCCGGGGCATACGGCTGCCTGCAATGGTCTTGGCATGGAGCTGCTTTATGCCGCCCTCGCGTGGCCACTGATCACGTAAAGCATTTGTGCAAGTGGCTGTGACCAAAGAACTGTCCGCGATTGTCCGCGTCAATGTTAGGAGCAGCTTGTTGATCAGCGCCTCGTGCCATGCGTCTTCTCCTTGCCGACTTGGAAGGTCCGTGTCCAAAGGCTCGTCGAATGAAGCGTGAGGCTGGCCACGGCTTCCAAGAATCCTGATGCAGCTGGCAGCTGGCTTGATGTTGTGGACGTGTGGCAATCCAGGACCGAGGAAGGTAATTTGAAGGTGTGTAACTGTGAGATCGACGAGACCGTAAGAGGATCTCGGCCGCGAGCCGACGTAACGTTGTAGCGAATCTGGTTGAGCTTGTGTCCAGGCCGGCCTCGACGAATGGGTGACATCTGACTTGCTGCCTTATGTTCGGTGCTGGGTGGTGCTGGTGTTTCGATGCACTTTGCTGTCGACCCCTGGTGCCACTCGGAAGAGTTCGGCTCCTTCTAGTTTTATTCAATGATTGCGGAGTGTGCCACGGGAATCGCTGACTGAAGAACAGACAGCGCCCTGTGGAACCAGGCTGCCCTAAGCTCCGAAGCGCTGCTTTCGGGACCTCCCGACTTGCGAGACCTGCTTGTTCGAAAATGCTTCTCGCCGCAAGCCGTCCAGCTGCTGCCATGGGTTTTCTCCGGAAACAAACTTTGAAGTCTGCTACGCTCGTTGTCCTTGCTGCTTCAGAAGTGCCCGTAGCTCCGGTGCCGGCCTTTGGCGATTGAACTCGGGCTGGAAGGCACGCTGCCCTCTGCACTCCTTGTAGCGATTGATAGGCGGCATAGTCTTAGCAAGATGTCCACTTCGCAGGCCCCGTGCTGGAGATTGACCGATCTCAACGCATGGCAATTCAGCCTGCTTCGGCCGACATTAAGGCGAGCGGCTTAGGTGATCGGGGACAGGCTTGCACGAGCCAGAACAGCCGTGAACGTTTTCATGAGACGACCAGTCGACGACTAGCCCGGCTGATGGAAGATGATGGAAGACCAGAATTCCCGAACAGCTCATCGAATTCATGATGCCGAGAAGCGCTTGACCTGCAGTCATGCCTTGCGGCAATGCGATGGTAAGCGTTTGCATCTTACGGACTGTGCCGCAGAAGATTCAGGGCAAACGTGTCTTGCAGTCGCGGGACTGTGAGCTGGAACTAGACAGCGGGGTATGCATTGCCGTCTGTTCCATAGAGAACTAGTGCGGCTCAAGACGTATCAAGCCAGATTTTTGTGGTTCACTCGAGTCTGCAGAAGCAGAGCACGGCGGCACGGCAACATACGGCAACGGACGTCGAGGGTGGATCGACCATACTTGATGCAGACCGTGACCTGAAAAAGCTGAGGTGTCAACGAACAGGGCCTAAATTCAAAATGCATGAACAAGAACACACGCACACACACAAGTTAGCAAAGACAGTAACGCTTTAAGACAGGTGCGCAAACACTCAGACCACACATGCGATTGGACCTTTTGGCGCCCCCCTTCAGTCGAGGCCCGGACTTCGAGGCCTCGGTCTGCAGTAGCCCCGCGAGGCCTGGCCAGGGGCGTTACCCCAGAGAGGCGTCAGGTGTGAATGTTTTTGCCATGTTGTTTGTAAGGGGAACCACAGGAAGAGTGGAAGCTGGGAGCAGGATGAAGCCGAAACCTGTAGGTCATAAAGGAGCCCCAAGGCTACATAACATTGTGTTGAGATCACTTCCAGACGCCGAGGTGATGTCGCAACAGTCACAGCCTCATTTTCGGCACAGTCGTCAACCTTTAGGTGAGGAGTGTGCCGAAAAGACTGACTGCCATTCTGGTTGTTTGCGGCGCGGCATGTCAGGAGGTCATCATGAGGGCTGCACGCATGCAGTTTCGCGCCAAACCAACAACCCCCCCCCTCTACACATTGCTAATATCAACACATTGCTAGGTAGTCAAGCACATGCCAACATTGGAAGTGTGAGGCTTGCCTGGATCGTGCTTGTAGAAGTAGTCCTTAGCGGGTCTTAAGCAGTAGATCTCAAGAGCTGGCCGAAAAGGGCCGACATGCCGAAGCGATGGCGGCCGCCAGCACCGACCCCACCCAAGCCACGGATGGACAAGGTTGCTTAGAAGTCCTTTCCTGCTTCATCTGCTCGATTCATCTGTGCTGAACCTGGGGCTCTGAAACGAAATGAAGCCTCCAGCATACTGTAGGTTATTCAGTCAGATGTGTCTGCGCTGCCTGGCGTTGTCTCTTTGTTGAGTATGCCCACGGAAACCATCGATTCTTGCTGCAGACTGCGTCCGAGTATGTGGCGGAAATGAAGGAACAGGAGGAGGCGATGTCATGCATTGCATCGCCTCGTCTTCTGTTCTTGTAGATGTTCCTGCATGGCTTTCGGAGGCTGAGCGGCTTAAGAAATCAGGCAGCACAAAGCTTGCACAATTCGAGAAGGACGGTGCGAAGCCTGCCTTGCCTTGAGTTTGAATGACATTTCAAGATGTGAAAGGAGTACGGCGACCCGGACAATGCGACTGGCGCCATCAAAACACCCAGTGAACTCAGCAATGCGGCCGGACCGATGGCGCAGCTCGGCGGTCACAAGTGCATCAGCTTCTTGGCGTCCAAGTTGCACCCGCTTTGCGGATCGGAGGCCTCCGAAGAAGATTAAGAAGGACAAGAAGAAGGATAAAAAGAAGGACAAAAAGAAAGACAAGAAAAAGACAAAGAAGAAGAAGAAAGATGGCAAGAAAAAGAAGGACGACAGCAGCAGCAGCAGCAGCGGCAGCGGCAGCAGCAGCAGCAACGGAGGCAAAGCAAAAGGCAAGCTATCGTCGAAAAAGAAGAAGGACTGACTTGCTGTGCGGGCAGTGTGCGTGTGTCTGTGTGTGAGCTGTCGACCGCCAGCCCTGGGTTACTTGCAGGAAGCTGTGACAGCCAAGAACGGTTGGAGGATCTCCGGTTTCCTCAAGGCCGAGGAAGCACTCCGCATGATCGCTGTCTGTTTACAGACACGCCGGTGTAAAAACTTTGCTGTGAATGTAGAACAAGAAAGTTTAAGGCGAGAGCCTCAGAACGAACACATAGGAACTGTCGCCGAAGCAAATGGTAGGTTTTTGCTGGAAGTAGATGTTGGACACAATTCGGGACGCGTTGTTCCAGAGGGGAGGCAAACAAAGCCTCAACCTGGCCATAGTGGAAGGTGCCGCAGCAGCAGCAGCATGAGGCGGAGGCGGAGGAGGAGGAGGAGGAGGAGGAGGAGGAGTAGGTCTGAGTAGGTAGCAGTAATAGTAGAAGTCGTTGTCGTCATCATGGTAGTGGTAGTGGTAGTGGTAGTGGTAGTGGTAGTGGTAGTGGTAGCAGTAGTAGTAGTGGTAGCAGTAATAGTAGTAGTAGTAGTAGTAGTAGTAGCAGCAGCAGCAGCAGCAGCAGTCGTCGTCGTCGTCGTCGTCGTCGTCGTCCTCGTAATCGTTGTGGTGGTAGTGGTAGTGGCAGTGGAGGTGGAGGAGTGACGTGGTGGTGGTGGAAGTGGTGGTGGTGGTGGTGGTGATGGTCGTGGTCGTGGTCGTGGTCGTGGTCGTGGTTGTTGCCAGTGACGGTAGAGGCGGAGACGGTGGCCGATGGCAGTGATGGCGATGCTGCTGTTCTGCTATGGTCCTGATCCTGGTAGCGGTTTTGCTTTGCTGCCGTTCCGGGTGCTGGTGATGGTGGCGGCGGTGATCTGTTGTCTGTCTGGCACAGGGGGCCTGCTTTTTGACAATATGTCTTGCATGTTGAGCGAGTTTCAGGCCAGCTCTGACAGCTGATGGCAGAGCCAGTGACGGCTAAGCAGCTAGTGCAAGCTCTGTTGATTTGTTGGCGGCACTTCGTGGGTTGAGTTCTGAGGCTTAGTAAGGGGCATTGATCGGGGTCTCGAATTCCCGGATGATCCGCCGCCGACAAGTCACAGCAGCCATCTGTCAGTGATTCTCAAGCATCGGCGGCCGATTTGGCCATCGCACCCGCACCAGAGCATAGACTGACAGGCAGTTGCAGACATGCAGACATATGTATACTGTATACAGGGATCAAGGACATGCAAGCTACGCAGGTGGAGAGCCTGCCCTGCCCACTTCTGCAGCATAGAAGTGCAAGTTGGACCTTGCTCGACGTGCGCCGGGGGGGAAAACGTCGCTTTGTGCCACCGGCTGCGGGTACGCAGAGGGTTAGGTGAGTGGTGCATTCAGGCTCCACGAACTGCACGAAGACCGCCGGATCGCAGCCAGGGCTTCAGTCAGAAGGGCTTCAATTGGAGGCATGCGGAGGTTCGATTGAAACAGTCCGTATCC